CACACACACACACACACACACACACACACACACACACACACACACACCAATGACTGAAAAAACATTTAAATCACAGCATGTGGGATGTTTTAATTATACTAAGGGCTTTAGATTCTTCCACAAAATATTGTCAAATAGTAAAACAAGAAGTAATATAGGTGTAGGCTATGATCAACATGTTTTTGTCTTTGTTCGGTACAATGGAATGAATTTAAAATGTTCTATGGAGAGTCAGATAATGGTAGGAAAAGTATTCATACAAATCCTTTTGCTCCGACAGATATCTGGTGTCTGAAAGCGCTGTTTTCAGCTCTGTGGCGATGCATTTTCCAGCTCATCCAAGAGGCTTTTTAGACAGTTTATTTATCTTAAGAAATGTATACAACCCATAAAGGAACACTTAATCGTTCAGTTTATGAGAACATTTCAACAAAAATGTTTTCTTTCTTGTTACACCACTGTGTTGCATATGCCTGATGTTTATTTAATCACATTAAGCTTTCTCAAATGATAAATATTAGCTACATATTAGTTAAGACCAGTTGGTGCAACCCGCTCCAGGGTCTTGGTTAATATGCGATCTGAGCACGTTGCTTACCTGAGCATGGCGCTGGATTCCTTGACGGCCTGGGCCAACATGTCCTTCCTGATCCTCTGCTGAATCAGCAGCTCGTGGACTTCAGTCCACCTGCAGAGAGCAGCACAAGACAAATGTAACATCTCAATCAGGCTTGGGAATTGGAGCTTAAAAATGTTTGAAATGTTATGTCTAAGTTTAACTGTACCACACAACAATAATACAAGTTTTTTGTAGGTCAAATTACAATCTCATTTTATAGTATGTGCTAAAAGGCTTAAATCTAAATTTGATTAAAATAAACAGGTGTTGTTGAAGTCAGTATGTTTGTTTCTTACCACTCCACCATGAGGGGCCGCTTTTCTTCAGCAGTCCTGCTGGCATCGATCTCTATGGGATAGTAGGTGTTCAACAGCTCCCTTATCTGGCAGTGGACCCACAAACAATACTGAACATACTGTACATCTACAGACCAGCAGCAAGGGATGTATCGGCATTTACTCTCTGAGACAACAAGAACTGCAGACCAGCGAACATTAGTTTATCTTACAGTTCACTATGGAGAGAAAATTGTCTCAAAATGGCAATTAGAAAACATGTAAAACATTTCACAAACTGAATAAATATTAATATTTTATGTACAGGTTTTAAACTTTAACTCCACAGATCTCATAATGTTCACTTTTGAAAAGCTTCCTGTGTGTACACATTTCTAAAAATTATTTGGAGTCTCGTTTCCCTCCATAGTTCATTGGATCGGATTTAAATTAGGATTTGTAAATGTCACTGTGCATGTTACTGCACAAGAACAAACAGCAGTGAATTAACCTTTTTAGTGCAATCTTCATCAATCAACAACCGGTTATCAAGGATGTCTGGAAAAAGAAAGGAAAACATGTTTGTAGAAGTTTCAGAAAAGTAGAAGACAAAAAAGTAATGCAAACTGAATCAACTATTACAATCATTTGGATCTAATAATGCAACTACTCAAACTCCACATCATAAGAACACGATTTGGCCAAGATGCAGATAATGTTTTCAAAGAGTCAGTTATGTGTGTGCTTACTGTGCGTGGTGGGAACTCTCTTTCCGTTGTGGGCAAACCTGGTCAGTGTCATATCGAAGTCTGAGATCACCTGAGGAAATATGACCCTTTGAAATCAGAATAATAGTACTCTATCACTCAGAAAATACACAGTCATGATACAATCACACATGAAGTACGAGTGTGAGATGCTGCAGAGTTCTCTCACCTGCAGGCTGCCTGCACCTGCTCGCTGCATGGCGTGGATCGTCTCCTCCACTCTGCTGCGCTCCCTCATCAGCACTGAGCACTTGGCCAGCTCTGGGATCTGAACAGAGAACAGTTGAGTCTTACAATGCATAGACTTTCTGAAATGAAACTTCCATTGTCTTTTATTCAGGAGAGCTTCCTCACCTCTGTCTTGGTCAGCTGGTGCCAGATTGCCAGGACGGTCCGCACTGGTGTGTAGATCCAGGGAATATGGTATATCTGCATGGAAAACCGAGGAGCAAACTCATTTTTGCAATCCTTTACAGGTCTGTAATTTCCTACAATTTTCCCTAAACGCAACTGGTAATTTGTTACTCATTATTTAGGGAAAACAGAAATCCATTGAGTAAATTATTATTTTCTCCGATTTAAATGTGTATTTACGGTAAACACACCGTGTTTGATTTGCTATTCACTACTAGCCTACATTTAATTAAAAACACATTGTATTTTAACTCAAACAGCCCATTTTTACAATGATTAGCTAACACGTAACAGCTGGCCATTAAAACGTAACTTACCATTTTCAAACGGACAACTCACGTGTCCGTATTAACTGATGCTCGGAACAACTGTTAAACGTACATAATGTTAAATAAAATAAGGTAAACAGTTTACAGTCGACTGGAGGTTTGAATGATTTGTTTACGTCCCGTTTGTGTCGCACCCACAGCTTTCCCCCGATTGTACAAATAAAGGTTCCGACGCACTTTCGTTCCTACTTCACCGAGGGCATTCTCAGCATGGTACTCGCATCTTATTAATTGCCACCAAACAGTCGTTACTTCAAGCAATTAGCCTTTTTGCTACTTTTTAAAGTTGCTGCAGTGGCCTAAATTAAATTATAATTCATCAACACGTTGCAACACCTCCATCTGTGTGCTGAATCCTCAGATACACAGGGACAGCATTTTGATTAAAGCTATAACCGGTAATATGTTAGTGCCTCTTCGTACCAGCTTCCATAAAGTATTACCAATCATTTATATATTGTGATATATATTGCTCGTTAAAGAATATTTTTTTTAACATATTTTCATAAGGCAAATGTTATATCCATTCATCAATTAATACTGTTCAAAATATTATAGTGTGTCAGCAGAATATTGTTATGCTCACAAAGCCTAATTAGATAATATCTATAGAGAGCTTGGGTGGGGATTCCACAGGTATAAGCAATTTCAACAAATACACTGAGCTCAGCAACTGGTCCACACAACAGTTTTGAATCAGATGATTGTAGTGAAAAAGCAACACCGTACAATGTTTAAGTTAGTCAAGGTCCTCCAGTGCAGGGAATGCAGTTAATTCAACTGTAATGATAAGGGGCAGCTGGGATTGTATGGCACAGTTGGGAACATTGAGAGAACCATGCACAAACAAAAAGATATGATTAAAATGTTTAATACATTTCGTAGTGCAGTGAGACAAAGTTAAGACAAAGCTAATTCTGCTAAACAAACAAAAAATAACTGCACAAAGCCACCGTCTTTAAGCACCGGAGCCAGTACAGTGTCCTAACAACATCAAGTGGGACAATTTAAATCAAAATATAAAATGGAGCTCCTGTCTCCTAAAGTGACATCTCATCATGACAATGATGGTCCATCTTTCAAACGAAAAATAGACCAGCTGAAATAAATCATACATTTTTTAAAAACATCCACTGGAATGGCAAAAAAGTAGGAAACGACTAATCATTGAACACTGTTCCCCAATATGTGCTTTGCTCAATACTTAAGTCGTGCTACAAAACGTCTGATACATGATTGTCTGTTTTAAATAGGGCACACAAAAGATACACACTATAGACCATCAACATTTAGATACAGTGCAAAAAAGCATGATGGAAACTGGAGGTAGAAGAGAAATTAGATGCAAGCAGCGAGGAGTAAAAAGTTAAAGATCAGCTGGTTGTTACAGTAAGTTTACCATCTTCTATCTAAACTCCACTTAACTAAGGATTCTCTTCTGAAATACATCACAATAAACATGATTTACTTTGCTAAGTTTACATCTCAACACTGAACTTCACCATAAAAGGTCACTGGTATTAGGTGAAACTAACTTGCATCACAACATACAGTATGATGTTAACATAGATCACGAGTAAAAAGTTAAGTTGTTTGAAATCAACGATCTTTCCAGAAGTTACCACAGCAATCAGTTTGATTTACTAGCAGAAGCTAATGCCAAAATTATAATGTGAGACTGAGAATTTAGAAGCATGTCCGGCTAATTCTTAATTTTTTGAAACCAGCCCAAGGTAAGGCTGTGCAGGCATTTAATCTAAATAAAAGAAGCTGTGGTAACAACAAGGCATTTATCAGCAGATGAACTACTAACTAGAGGAAGCTCTCAACATTCGATTTGAGATTGCAGCTGTCTGCGCAGAGTGAGGGTGCGGCGATGGAGCTGCTGCATCTGTTGCATGCGGTCTCGCTGGCGAACCAGGTTCTGGGGCATGGGGTAGTGCTGGCAACCATAAAGACAATGGTACGGGATGCGAATGTGACAGGCCGCGGCTCGGCACCGCGGCTGAGGCAAGGGCGGCAGCAGCATCCAGCGCTTCTTCTCAGCGCAGTAACGGTAGGCCTCCTTGCGGTACTGCTTGTCCATGTTGTTGCAGTTCCTCCATCCGCCAATGATGAATATGTCGTCGCCCAGGTAGCAAACGGCAGCACCTTCCATGCTGAGGACCTCTGGAGGGAGGCTGTCGAGGATGTCGTCAGAGATGTCCCTGCTTATTTTCTGCTGAGCGGCCTCGGCCGTTACCTTATAGCTCTTCGTGCAGCAAGAAGCCGTGTGGTAGAAGTTGGTGGATGCGACAGCCATTTGAAAACTACAGTAATTATCGATCAGCGGTAAGGAGTCCACTTCCTTCCACTTGTGACTCTCTGTATCGTAGCAGGTGGTCACGGTGCTCAGTCCATCCTCATTGCCCATGTCTACGGGAGTCCTGGCCATCACAAATATGTAGCGGTCCTCCACGCTCACCGTTTTTACATCTCGCAGTATCTTCGGTGCTGGCTCCAGACTGTGCCACTCGTCCTGCTCGGGCTCGTAGACGGTCACATCCTTAAAGCCTGCACTGAAGTTGCCGTGTCCACCGATGCAGTACAGCAAGTCTTTGACACATGTGAGGCTAAAGGAGTGCTTGCGAATTTCTAAGCTGCTGACCTCCTCCCAGGTGTTGAGTTCGGGGTTGAAGCGCTCCACCATCTTGGCGAAGCTCGGCTCCATGGAGCCGGCCACATAAACGTGGCTGTCGGTGACGGCAATGGCATGTCCGTCGAGGTGGTTGTGAATGTGCGGCAGGTTTACCCAACGGTCCTCAGCAACAAAGTAGCCCACACACTCACTCAAATAGTCTCCGCCTTCGGATACACCACCCACTACCATGATTACATCCATGTTCTGGCCAAGACGAGGCTGCATTGCTGCATTGTAGGAGGCACAGGGCTCTAAATCAGCTGGCTGGTTGAGGTTCTCAAAGTGGACAGCGTGGACCTCGAGGGCGTCAGACAGCAGCTGCTGACATGCTGCATTGTTTGCCACTAGCGGCTCCTTTCTCACGACCCGTGTCAGGTAGGTGGGAGAAATCTGAGTTAGTCTTAAAAGTCTGAACAGCTCCTCGAAATGCTCCCCTCTCTCCTCTGCGTTGTGGTGCACCCATTTAACTATGGCCTCAAACAACTCCTGTTCAGAATCCACGGTGATTCCTGAGTCGGACAGCCAGTCCCGCACCAGGTGAAATGGTAGCGTGAAGAATTCCTCATTGTGGATTATTTTGTGGAAGTTACTTCGAATGGTCTTGGCGGCTCCCTGGGCCAGCAGGTCCAAGGTGTACATGTGGGCGAGGCTGTGTACCGCTACGCAGTTAGATAAGTTCAACTTCTCCATCAGAAACTCTCCGCAGAAGGTCTTCAGCTGCGTCAACAGGAACCTGTGTGAACACGACGTAGTCATCAGACGGTCAGTAATTTGACAAAATGAACAAAGCAGTAAAACTCTGAATACTGTACACTAAACATTAGTTATCCTGTGTCTTACTGTAGTGGATTACTTGCACTGAGACATATGGCCTTTGTGTTTCTTGCACTGCAACGCTGCAATAACCTTATTGCACGCATGCAACCGTTTTTACACGTGTTGCAAATATCTTGTTTCTTTTTCGGTGCTTGTTAAATTCACCTACCAAACAGCATTCTTTTGGGGCCGACATAAACAAGTGTCCCAGGAAGCTGTGACAGTGTGAAAGTGAGCCAGCATCCACACAATACCAGGACCTGAAAAGTGAAGCCGCTGTACGTAATTTGTTAACTGTATTATTAACACCTGTGGCTTTAAAAAGGTCCTGTTTGTAATGCTCAAAACAAATACTGTGGAATACAACATATAGTTATTCTGTCTGATTGGACATTTGCCCAGGTTGAAGATGAGCGTGTCCTTCTGTGGTTCTCTGATCTGATTAAGTTGTGTGGAGTTCAGGTGTGTGAACTCCAAACAGGTCACACCTGCTGGTGCAATCAGGACACCGATAAGGTGTGGCTCATCTACCTGGAAAAATAAAAGCCTGTTGAGGTTTAAGTTGTTATATTGTAATATTAAAATGTTTACCTGTCAGCAAGCTCCAACACTTCATGCACGCTGGCAGTGGTTACCCCGATTTGTCCCGTGTACATGAACTGTATGATACCCTCCACAGTTTCTGGCTCGGGTCCCGTCGCCGAGCTCCATTCTTTTAGCTCCACTCGCCCCGACACAGACTCTGAAAACTGTCCGCTCAGCAGCAGCGTGAAGTACTCCGACGCCGCGGATAACACGGAGCGGTGCGCGGACAAGGTTTGGACCCTCTCCCCGCCGGAGATGAAGACCAGCGTGACGTCGCAGAACAGCCCCGACTTCCTCTGCTCGTTCTGCCGCCGGGAGAGCTCCGAGCAGTGGGTTGAGCAGGTGAACTCCTCGGCCTCCTCGGGTTCCCCGTCACCTGTTAAACCGCTGCTCCGGTCCTCCGGCGCTTCTGCTGCCGCTGCCATGCTGCAGCGGGATCGAGTCCGGGGCAAATGAAGGCTCTCAACTATCTTTGGGAATAACTCATAGGCATATATGACACACGCAAACAAACATTCAAAACCGGACATGCATGCGCAGCAGCGTTCAGTCTTGTGTCGGAAAACCGGAGCGCTCACTTCCGTCTTTAAGAATTTTCCAAATGTACTCGATTTTTGCTGCCGAGTCAATGGGAGGCTCTCAGATTTAAGCCAATACCTACGTCCACACGAGCGACCTAAACCCCGGACGCATATACAAAAAAGTCCGACATGTTATCGGTTTTTTTATGTCATATACGTATGAACACGTCTTAATTTTAGGGAAATCCAACTTTGTTTAAAAGGATGCACCGCATTCGCGCATGCGTGTTGTGAATTTTCTATTTGCTGGCGCATCCTATGATGAGACACTAACGTCATAACTGATACCGGGCAAACAAACATCATTCAGTCCATGAATTAAATGTAATTTAGTGTCTGTCTTTAATTATTAATTCATTTGTGTTTAGCGTTTTATCGGCTGAACATTTCAAATTGTCATTCTCTACCTTTTTAGACATTTTCGTTTCAGTATGGTAGATATTAAAACATCACATCTATTCAAAGATCACTTCACCTATAACAGATTTAGACACACTTAAGACAATAGTAAAAGTAAAACAAGTCCTTTATTATACTACCATTTGCAGCATATTACAAAAAACAAAGCATTTTTTTCACAGTTAAATAAAAAGGTCAAACAGCAGGCCGTACAGTGGGTGGTTACAAAGCGTTTTTATGTTGGTGTGAAGTCTTTAGTTAAAGTTGGACAATTCTTTTACAGAGCTGTATTATGTGCAATCATTTCCATAAGTGAAATGGTTTTCATGGTCCCTCACCAAAAGATGCTTTCAAAGACACAAAGTGCTCATTAATGAAACATTTAGTTTTTCCCCTTTTGATAAATCTACATTTTACAAAAGTAGTTCAATTTATACTTTGTGAGAGACCTGAACCCCTCAAAATTGCATCTAATGTACAATAGCTGATCAATTTCAACCACTAGTGTGGTTGTTCTGGGAAAAGCACATGTTCGTTTAATCTGGGTTTTTTTAACAATTGGACCAATTCTGTATTTTCACACTTAAAACAGATGACAAATTCCTAAACATAACTTTGGTTCATCTTGTGATGACAACAATCTTCCTCAATAGGAGTGAATCTTGGAAAATAAATTTAAAACTGACATTTCGTTGTGTATAAACTAAGGTGCAAGACTCAGAAAGCATACTTAAGCACACTTGTTGTGGCCTAAAACAGGTAAATGCTGATACATTTGTTTTGAGTAGTATAAAAAAACAAAAACATTTTAATGTATTGTTGAGTTTGAGCAAATTTTGTAAGATTCCGTAATGCAGGAGTCCAGGTTGAAATGTGCTTTGAGTCCTGCCCATTTAAAGTATCAATTGATTTGTGCTTTTGCAACTGCTGTAGTTTGCATTGGTTTGGGTCTGTGGTCAAAACTGAGTAAGTTACAGCTCAGTGAGTTTAAATTATTTTTCAAAAACTAAAATCTACAAATATACTTCCCCTTTTTCTCAGTAAAAGCTTTTTCCATTTCCCAGAATCACCCTGCAAAGTTTCCCCAAGGCCACTGTTGTCGTACCCGGAGAGTAAATATACATTAAGTGAGATGTTTAATGCTTTCTGACTCATTTGGGCAGTCACATCTGGAAACGTGTTCTATTCTGTAATGTGGGGATTACATGGACATATGTTCAGGAAGCACATAGGAGATGTCATCCCAGGGGTGGCGGTACAAACCCTGTTTCAGCCTCTTCTGGTCCAGGTAATGTCCTAATGTAAGACAAACCCTAGTTAGATATATTGTTTTAATAATACTTTGAAACTGTGTGTCGGGACTCACCAATGAAGCCCATACTACGTCCAAGGACAAAGATCCCATTTAGTGCACCGATCTCCACGAACTCGTCAGCCTCGTCTCTGGAACCAGTTCAACATTCATGTGAGAAACAATACTGGACAGTGTGCTTTGCTATCAACACAGAAGACAGACGATGGACTTTTGGCATCAGCATTTTTTTAGTTTGATAAAGGGTTTAATAACAATATATATTTGTAAGCAGAAATATATTTATTAATGTGTTTATCAACACCTATAACTCCTCCTGCAGGAGCTGGTGTGTTGTTGTACAGACAATAAATGACAATATAGTAAAACTCGGCTGTAATAATCTAAAATATGTTACCGTGTGAAGCCACCGCACGTCCTCAGCAGGTCCACAAAGGCAACACCAATAAAACCGTCTACGTTGAGGATCAGGTTTGGTTTCTGAAAATAAGAAAGTAAATTTATCTAAATGTCAGAGGAATATATGTAGGCCAACTAATTTGACAAAATTAACATAAAATGAGGAAAGGTTCAAAAGTCCAAAGATGCCATCAAAGATCTTTTAAGTTTATTAGGTTTTTCTTTTTCAGGGAGAAATAACGATCATGTTCTACGTCACTCTTGCCCTGCTCATTCAGGTGACGAGTACCTTGGAGGTGGTGATCTTCTCTACGTCTAGGGCGTAGTCGAGTAGCTGGGTGGACGGGAAATACTGCTTAACAAAGTCCTTCAGAATCTGCACCCGCATGTCTGGGTTGTTGATCTGAAAAAAGAGACAAACTTTTGTTCATTGTAATTAAAGCTCTTAACTGTAAGGTATTCATTTATTTTTACTCTAATCTAATGAAGACTTATTCAGCGATATGAACTTAGAAACTGTCTGCTATAATCTAAAAATGCCATATCAGTTATGGATCTTAATTATGTAACTTGTAGTGTGAAAAGCTGAGCCTACTGATTTGACTCTGTGTCCGATGCCCATGATCAGCTTGCCGTCCTTCTTCATCTTATTGACAAACTCCATGGGCAGCATGCCGCTGTCGAATGCCTTACTGAACAGCTTTGCAGCCGCATCCAGAGCACCTCCAAAACGGTCCCCCTGGAATGTATGAATAAATCACGTTTCAGTAGAGAAACAATAGTTTCAGACACATGGTCAAAGTGGGCAGTATAAGACAAGACAGGTGGATGGGTTTGAAATTTAGTTTCATTTTTGTCTGGTTAGAGATGGTGGCACAGTGCATGTGCGCAAGTGTTTGCGTGTGAGCAGTACTAACGATGGTGAGCAGGCCGGAGGTGAGGCATGAGATCAGGTCCTTGCCAGCACGAGTACAGACGATGGTGTTGTGTGCACCAGAGACGGCAGGCCCGTGATCAGCAGTCACCATCAGGCACATCTCGATGAACTGGCAGGCATATCGTGGCAACCTAAACGGAAACACAGCACAGCTTATTCCACTGAAGATATATGTGTAATAAAGTTAATCAGCCAACACTACTTCTCGCTGTCGTCTAGTCTTCATACCGACCTGCGTTGGAACCAAAGCAAGCCCAGCACTCCTCCTAAACCCATCTCCTCCTTAAAGACCTCAGTGATGGGCATGCCGGCGTAGATGAGCTCCTGGCCTCGCTCGTCACAGATGCTCGTCATGAATGAGGCCGGCTTACGGATCAGACCCAACTCCTGGAGGAAATCAAGAAACAGGGGCCCCTTTACACATTTTGTCCACCAGAGGAAACTGACTGAAGAATATTTTTCAACTGATAAGTGTCCTGCTCAGTTAATACTAAGGTCACAATTCCGTAATAAATAAACTGACCTTATCATAAATGTTAGTTTGTATCATTTGTCTGTCCCCTAGTTTTATTTGTCAAATAAACCGATACATTTCCACGACAATCATGAGCTCTAAATTGTTACTATACACGATATGACGACCATTTAACTCTTCAGTGGCTAAGACAGATGCTGTTGAGGTTTACTGAGGCGTAATGATGAAGTTTCTTACCCTGGCCCAAGAGTAATCCATAGGCACTGTTGGGGGAGGCACCTCCTGGGCAGGAATGATGGTACCATTGGCCACCAGCTCATCATAAACAGTCCTGTTACATCATAAATTCACAATACAAGTTAAAAAAAAAAATCCTAAAAACAATTTAATGATAAACTGTGGTATGACAGTGTGATGCATTTCTCACTTGATGACATCCCCCAGCTCATCAAAGCTCTTTGGTACATAAGCGCCAGCGTCCCTCAGAGCCTGGTTCTTGGCTACTGCTGTTTCTGAAGCCTGGTTGGCACAGGCCCCTGCATGGCCAAACTGAACCTGAAGATAGCAGTGACAGGTTGAGCTTAAAAACTCTGAATTACATGTTCACCACGACAACAAAATCCAAAGCAACAAAGCCACCAAACCTCTGAAGTGAACATGGTGGCGCAGGTTCCAATACACCAGCACACCACAGGCTTGGTTATCCTGCCTTCTCCGATGCCTTGGCAGATCTTGTACTCCTCTGTGCCTCCAACCTGGGTTGTCAGAGTAAAAGAGATGTTAAAAATGGGACATTTGTTTGCCCAAAGATTAATTGTATTAAATACAAATGAAGTGAATTAAATAATAATCAACATCTGGTTGATGGTAATCTGAAAATGTAAAACATTTGTGGAGCTACTCCCACCTCTCCCAGCACTATTATCATCTCAACGCCTGGAGTGTCCTGGTAACGTAGGACGTGGTCCATGAAGGTGGAGCCTGGGTATCTGGATAAAGAGAAGAGAACACAAGAGCTTAAAAAGGTCTGTCAGACAACAATACATTTCTGTGGAGCAGGGATACATTATCTTAAAATCTAACAACTAATAGTTTTACAACAGGCTTCAACTGGACAACCGCCTCTCACTCCCTCAGCAAATATTTGCAAATAGGTTCTTGTACCTGTCTCCTCCGATGGCAACACCTTCATAGACGCCGTCTGTTGTGCGGGAGACTATGTTGTTCAGCTCGTTGGACATGCCCCCGGAGCGCGACACATAGGCCACGCTGCCAGGGCGATAAAGTTTGGAAGCCAGGATGTTGTCCAGCATGCCACCTGTGTTGCCGATCTTAAAACAGCCAGGCTTGATGCCACCAACCTGGGAGACAGAAAATAATGGGTATCAAATGAACTTGTGTGCGCCAGTTGAAATTGATCATTTGGCGCTCTCAAACAGCAAAATAACAGCTGCAATTACGGTCTACTGCAGTACTTTCAAAGAATGTCTTTTCATAGTCTCTGATGGCGAGATATGGCTTCATACCGTAGCGGGGCCGATGATAGTGACACCTTTCTCATCGGCCTTCTTGATTATCTTCCTCGTCTGAGCCTCAGGAATGCCCTCAGCTATGATGGCGATGGTGTGGATCTGAAAACACAATTAGATAAGAGAGCCGAGTTTCAAGTCCGTCTGAATCTCACAAGTTTATGCAGTGATGTGTGGGCTTGTATGTAAACCTATTTTACACTGTCTTTCTACCTGTGGGAACTGCATGGTCTCCATAGTGCTGTCGAAGGCCGAGCGCAGTGACGCAAAGCTAATCAGGACGTCCACCTCGGGGTGCTTCTTCATGGCATCGGCCATGTTCTTATAGACCGGCAGCAGGATCTCTTTGTGGCCCCAGTAAAACTTCTGCTTGTGATCCCCACTGTGCAACACAGAAATGTGGTGTAGAATAATATATATAATATATGTATTAAAAAACATTATATTTCAACTTCTCAAGAGCAGTCTGATTTACATCACCGATATAACATTTTTTGGGACCGCAATAGTGTCACTAACACAATCACAAAACGATACAGATAATATGTAGTTATCATCAAAATGAAGGTTGAGTTTGAAGATGGGTGTGGGTGCTGGAACACCACATGATATCTGCATTGAAACAGTATTTAGGACGATCAGTTGTAGCACTGTAAAGTTGATCAGTGGAATATCAAATCCTCATGTCAGACAAACTTTAGATCTTGGGGAACCTACGTGAAGGGGTAGACCATGGCTGCCACAGAGGGTTCGTCCCGGGAGCATACGTAGTCGAAGTCCAGCATGCCTTGCACGGCACGTGTCTGCATGCCCCAGACTATGGCCTTGGTCTGCTTTCTGAAGAGTGTAGTGGGTTTGGCTAAAAGAACAAGATGGTAGAAAGAGATAGAGAGTCAAGTTAGAGCTTGGAAAGACAAAGAACACCACGACGGGTGAGG